GTACCTATTGTGAGTCACAAGGCTGAACAAAACAGAACAGGGAAAGTCAGAAACATTAAATTCTGTTTCCTGTTTTAATGTTGCAATTCACCTGAAATGCACCGGTGAGGAGACTGGAAATCAATCAGTTGATCTATCAATGCCAAAAAGTGCAACAGGTGTCACAGAACAGGGAGAAGCACCTGACGACTGTTTTCGTTAGATAAAAAAGCCATCCCAGCAAGGCAGACAGGAGCTTAGAACATGAGATCAATGGAGCATATTTAAAAGACATTAGAGAGCAGTCCTACTGTCACAGTTCTGTGATAAAGCACAGGAATCTAGCCTTCAAGCATACAGCACCACTTTTCCCTATGAATGTGATCCTCCAGTGGCTATCCTCCTTTGCTTAATCTCTCCATGTCTAGATGAAAGATGGAGCAAGGCCGGCGATGTCTAAGCCAGGATTTGGTTTGTCCTACCCAACGCCGGGTCTCTCCCCGGCGGCCCGAGGGACATCAACGGGGTGAGGACGGAGGAGAATGGATGGCTGCTGGCTCCAGAGTCCCTCATTCACTCTCTAACTTGCTCACATTAAAGAGAGCTCTAATCACTGCAGGGACTTGGCCAATGATGTGCTTATCAAACGGCATATTTCAAAAAGGCATCTTAAAAGGCCCGAGGGCGAAGAGGCAATAAGAGCACATTTGTATGTGGATGAAAGGGAAAAGTGTAGACAGACCTTGCATCAGAATACAGCGGGGGGAGATCATTAGCATCACTAGCAAAATATGCAGAGAGAAGGAGAGAGTGAGGTGGCGCTGGGATGGAGTTGTTGGGCTATGGGAGAAAGAACAGTTCCCTTCGCTGTTCTTTTTTTTTTTTTCTGTTGTACAAAGTTCCCAAAAAGAATATGAGAACAAATACATTTTTGAACAAAGGATGGTCTCTTGAAGTGGAAGCCCACTGGGGTGCGTGAGGTGGTTCCACTGTGGGTTACAACAGAGTGAAGCCACAAACGCATCTCCTCTGACTCTCCGCTGACAGAACACACCCAACACGTGAGCTTTGAAATGTGAGGAAGAGCCTCGAATCAAACACGAAGCTACACAATCCCACCGTTCATTCAGTGGCTGCACATCTCTCTAGCATTCTGGTTATGGACTCTAACAAATCCAGGCCACAGCCCCCCCTCTGTGTGACAAACTGGTTAAAATATTGTCTCCTAACAGTGGAAAAAAAAAGGGCTGAGAGAAGCATTGTTTGTGGTTTCTATGTAGAGACTTTCCAAAAGTGTGGCAATATGAGAAAGTTTTGATTTAAAATGTGCTGAGTGGCTCTTTATTTGCTGCCAGACACCAAAATGATGCTGCAAACGATAAGAGGACGTGTCAGATTTCAGCAGTTTAAGCCACACAAGGAGTCTTGAGAATTCCCCTCCAAAAACAGAAAAGAAAGCGGAGTAAGCTTCTGTCATATTTTAAACATTGACATGATTTATCTGAGCACAAAAATGATTTGTGTTTTCGTGAGACAAACAGTTTTTTTATGTGCTCATTTGCAAACATTTGTAAAAGAGCATGAGAAGCACTGAGCTCACAACGAACTGAGGTAATGTGTTTTTATCTTTTGCTGCATCGTTTTGAATATGTTTTTGTTGTGTTTCTTGTTCTGTTACCAGAACCCTTCTACAAACGCATGTGGACTAGATATATTATCCTTACTCATCTACACTATTCACAATCAAATAATTTTCAGCCAAAAGTTGCAACTTTCAAATGAGAAAGTTCTTTTAAAAAAATTACAAAAAAGGTGGGAACTTTTGACAAAAAATTTTTCTATTCTTCCTTACATATTTTGCGTGTTTCGGTTTTTACAGATGTGGACAAATGTGTGTAAAAAAAAGTCTAAAATTTAATTAGTAGAATAAGCTCATATTTAAAAAAAATCCAACATTTAATTTGAGTTTTAGGAAATGTTTTTAATTGAATCCTCATTACTATAGTTGCTAAGATCTATGAATCATTTATAAAATGAATACTTTACTTTTTGAACACTGTAAGGCTTTCTCGGAACCTTGAATGAATAATGCAGGACATCCTGTTTCTTTGGGGAATAAATAAAATGTGACTCAGAGGTTTATTACTTTTAGCCGCAGGTCAGTAGGCTGGATGAGGATTCATATTTATGCAGGATGCTCAGAGAAGAAATAAAGTCTCCTGAGCTCAATGTTACAGAAATGCAGTAAAAAGTGGCATTTTGGGTTCACCAAGTCTCCATTTGCCTTTTGTTTTGTTTTGTTTTTTCTCTGGGAGGAATGTCAGAGTCTTTGCAGTTCTATTGCTTAACTCTACTGAGACATTAATTAAAATGCTTCCCTTTTTATCAGTCAGGGTTTGAGCTTTTTTGGGGGTTTGGCATGAAATACAGGTTGAATGTGGAAACGCACCACTGCTAAGTATGATGGAGGATCTGTGATGCTGTGGCCCTCTGAACCTGGTTGGTGTGTAAATTATTTAGCTTTTGTCAGTGAGCTAAAATGTGTATTTTTACACTACCTTTAATTAAGCAGGCTGATGCCTAAATAAATATGGCCTACTAATGTGTTTATGTTTGAGCTATGAGGTTTGTTTGTTTGTTTGTTGGCTGTTTCAGTGCCCTAAACATCCTGTGGGATCTGTGACGAAATCGTAAGAGAAAATCCAGGATTCTGGATAAGGAAAGTTTGTGTTCAGAATGAAAGATGATGCAGTGATTTTGTTTAAAACAATTATTTCTTAACCTGATTTTTTTTGCCCCATTGAAAAAATGTTGTAGATGGTTTTTAGTGTGGAATTATACCACACCATTCTTCACATAAAATAAAGACAAATGCATCAGAATACCCAAATACGGTGACCAGACACTTCTATAACGTAGGAACATTCAGGGTTAAGTTCATAACATTTCCAGACTGAAAACAAAGAAGGACGAAAACTGATGTATCTGGAAAAAAATTCACGTGGTTGTGCTCCTGTACATCGGCATCAGCGCATCCTACAGTTGTAGCTGCAGCGAACTGATGCCAGGCAAACACACACAGGCGCGTGCACGGATTTGAACACAGCTCATCAGTCTCAGTTTGGAAATTCAGGATCAAGAGACCAATTATCTTAATTATTCTCCTTTTCCCTCCATCACTCTCGTCTGCATGTTTTCCCGCTTTCTATTTTAGCTGTGTTTGCATTTGTGGGTGTTTGGGTTTGTGCATTTCACAACACAAAATTACTCCAAAGCTCCCAGAAAAGCAAATTTACGTCTACACCAGCTTTAAAAAAAATAAAAAATAAAAAATCAGCAAAAGAAATCCAGCTGTCTTAATTCCAAAGCCAAACATGAAGCAAGAATCTTTTTGCCTTGGGAACATTGTGGTCGTTAAATAACGATGGTGCAATGAAGCTGGAAACCCAAAAGAAGCTAAGTTTAGAGCTCCAGGGCCGGCCTGCCTGCCTCCGCTGCTCCCATGAAACGGTTAACACCACAATCCTGCACAGAAATTAACCAGTCAAGTTCTGCAGCTCGCTTGCTAAGAGCTGACAGCGTCTCGTCTGCCGTTTGCGGAGAAGAGGGGCAATTATTGTGTGATGGATTTCACCTGTGCCCAGTGAAAATAACTCTCTGCGCTGTCTCAGGACAGTGAAATATCCATACCGGAAAAATCATTCTTCTGTCACCCCACAGAGCCAAAGACATTGTCATTTTTGCTCAAAGAGCAAATCACTGAAGGCATGCTTGCCCAGCAGTGAGGATTTGAAATGTCTAATAAAACAGGAATAGCTATACATAAATTCAGTCTCTTCAAAAAAAAAGTTAAATCTAGTTAAAAGTTATTGATCTTGAGAGTTTGGAGGCATCAAAGCAATGGACTTGTGTTATCATTATAGGACTTGGTTTGTATTTATAGAGATGAAGCAGATGATTTTTTTATGGTTTAAATCCCCTGATTATAATCAAACAGAATCTGATGAGAAAATATGATTTGACTCGCATGATGCTTTTATGATTTAGTGTGATGTGCAAAGCAGCCTGAAGTATCTCACAAAACAGAGCAGTCAAACGATAAAGTATGAAAACAACTCTTCATATATATTCATATTTTTATTTATTTATATTTCATTTCTGGAAGGATATCTTGTACACCAAATATCCCATTGGCAGTTAAGCGCATTCAATGTGTTTAGAAGCCAGAAACAGTCACTTGTTTTAACAAACACAAATACAAAATAAAGATAACCACAAAATAATGAACTGCATGTATATAACATACAAAAGAATCCCATGCCTACTCAGTAGGTAACTTCAACATTCCAGCTCTTGAGGATGTGGATATTTACACTTACAAAAATATACTTTATAATTTTTTATCTTTTTTTTTTTTGTTGTTTTCTTTTTTGCTTACATTCTGATAAAATGAAGCGGTGCCCTCATAGCTCGTCCCTTTTTCTTCCTCCCTCTGAGTGCGTACATTCTGTAACAAAAATATTCCCTCAACCCTTAAGGCGAGATGCAGTGCATCCACTCTCGCGCTCAGCCGAGTCGCAACATCTGCAAGGCTTCACGAAAGGCACCGAATAACAGGAGCGTTTGTCTTGTTTAGGTTTTTTTTTTTTTCAACATTTTTTTTTTTTGTTTTTCCATTTCTCTGTTTTTCAATATAACCAAGCGATATGTCACATGTGAGAAAGAGATAGTACCAGTGGATGATATTTACAACAGAAACTAACATCACTCTTACTCATGCTCGAATACTTAAGTGCTTCTTTTTTTCTTTTTTTAAATCTCAAACAATGTCAAAACATATCACAGCATCATCACTACATAATAGAGAAAGTATGTAGAAAATATGGCCCTGCTCACTTCAAATAATACAATGCAAATATGCAAATAATTGTTCACATCAGTGGTACCGAGGAATGATAAAAACGAAACATGGCACATGTACAATATACATATATGATAGCTTATGTATATCATTCAATGTCTTTTGTATAAATGTCTCAAGGACAAACGTGCCTGAGGAATCTGTCTGTCTGTCTCTTGGTGTGGGATTTATTTTTTGTTTTGTTTTGTCGGTCTGTGGTAGAACAGACCCGCCAGAGCCGTTTTCTATCTGTCTCAGGAGTCCTATATGCATTTGAAGTGCTGCATTTGTTTTACAGAGACAGTATGAAAAAAAAAAAAATCCTTTTACATGTTACGCTGTCCTTGCCCAGTCCTTGACATGTGTCTCTTTTCTTTCTTTCAGGCAAATCTCAAGATTCACCTGCACTGCACCCGGTAGCGAAAAAAAGTGCTTTTAGGAGGAGGGGAAACTAAGTCCTTTTGATGCTGATTTCTTTCCCCTGTAAAATGGAAACCTTGCAGAAGGAGAAGTTCGTTGAGAGTACAAAAAAAAGTTTTTCTGTCTGCTCCTCTCTTAGCAGATCTCGATTGTCCTCGGGGAAAGAGTGGTCTGCATGTCTGAAAGAGGGGTGGGCACTGGGGAGCTGTAGATGTTGGATGCAACTGAAGAAGGGAAGGAGGTGGCGATTTGAGACTGGAAGGTGGTGGACATCGACGCCGACGGATAGGTGGTGGCGACGGAAGGAGAGGGATAGGAAGTGTGGACGGGAGAGGAGTAGCAGGAGGTGACTGGAGACGGGTAAGAAGACACTGGAGAAGGATAGGAAGTGATGGGAGAGGGGTAACTGGAGGCGGGCGAGGCAGAAGATGCTGGAGCCGACGTTACTACAGCAGCTCCAGCCTTCTCTGCCTTCTTGTCCTTCTGCCTCAGGTGGATCTTTGTGTGCCTCTTCCTCTCATCGCTGCGGGCAAACTTGCGTCCACAGATCTCACAGGCAAAGGGCTTCTCCCCTGTGTGGGTGCGGATGTGTGTTGTCAAGTGGTCGCTGCGGCTGAAGTTTCTCATGCAGATGCGGCACTGGAAGGGCTTCTGACCGGTGTGGATGCGGATGTGACGTGTCAGCTCATCAGACCGCGAGAAGCGACGATCGCAGGTTTCCACAGGACAAGCGTAGGGCCTTTCGTGTGGCGGCGTCTTGCTTGGTCGTGTGGGGTACTTGCGCATGCGGCTGGGCTTTATCAGCTGGGACTGGTAGATGTTTTTTAAGTCCTGGGAACCAGTCTGAGTGGCAAAGGCCTTGATGGTGGACAGAGGAGTAAGCGATGGCTGGTTTGACTGACTCTGGAAGGGCTTTTGGTCTGGGGGCACCAGGCTGATCTCTCCCTGCTGCTGGGGGAAGAGGTAGTCAGGAATCATGGGCACAGGGAAGCTTGTGCTGCAGGTCTTGCCGTTGGGATATGCAGGGGGTGGGTACTGCACTGATCCCGCTGAGGTGGCGAACCCCTGACTCTGGTCTGGAAAGATGTCAGAGTTGGGGCTGGAGTATGTCGGGGCAGCTGAGTAGATGGGATTGGGCTCGCTGTGGTGGATTGAGGTGTTGAGGCTGGAACTTTGCGATGAGGAGGAGGTTGAGGAGGAAGAAGTGGAGGAGGACGGGATGGTTGATGAGGAGGATGAAGAGGTCTGTGACGAAGCTGAGGAAGAGCTGGAGGTGGGAGCGACGTTGCTCATTAAGCCGGTGAACAGGCCCAGGATGGGCTCCGCCCAGAGGCTGTTGCTGCATGTGGTGGCGGGTTCAAGGGTGAAGCGGCCGGTGTAGGATATGGGAGGCAGCCTCTGGGTGGGGTACGTTTGCTCCGCAACTGGCTTCTCGCAGGTGTAGTTGATATCAGATAGCGTATCTGCAGAAAGCACAAGAAATGAGAGACATTAGTCAAACTATCAATATGTTAAAAAAAATTTAATAAAAAAAACAAGGGTACTGCTGCCAGAAAGGTGGGCAGCATGTCACCCCTCTCCTCTGTGATAGGTCAGTGAGAAACACTCTGCAAGCAAACTCTTCACCCTCAACTCCAAAACCGTCTTTATATCTTAGAAAGCAGCTTTGCAGGCTTCCTGAGGTCACATTTTCCTCTATGAACAATTTCTCAACCTTCCGTTCATTTTCTGCTTTCCTGTGTGTTGCACAAGCACACACAGAAGCACACAGATTCCTAAAGACCATCAGAGCCAAAGGCAATTGATTACCCAAAGCTACAGCTCAGCTGGTTTTGGTAATGTAATTTGGATTGAGCAGAAGGAGCATCTAAAGCATGTGGTGACAGAACAACATTTTTGCTATTTTGGGGCAAGTCGTGTGAAGCTATATTTCAATTGTATTTATGTTTAGCTAAGTTTTGTAAGGTTTCAAACAAGCATCTAAAATTGCCACTTACTTTTAGTTTGCAAAGCCACAACTCTTAACATTTAACAGCTTGTTGAATACCAAAGTGCAGCAATGAATCTAAGTTTAAATTAAATGTTGGTTCTTTTGTAGCTTAGCAAATATAATCTAAACTTTAATCCAGCAGCGAGTAAAAACAGCTGAAGAAGATCTTGTCTTACCTCCAGAAAGATGATCGTACGGCTCCCCTGGCTCCCCGGAGCCAAAGCCTGCACCCTCGGGTGCGGAGGCAGTGAGGAAGGGTGTCCCCGCAGAGCTGAGCATCATCACCTCCTCCAGTTTGGGGTAGTTATCCATGGGGGAGTGAGGGAAGCTCAGAGGCTCTGAGATCTGCAGGGCAGGGAGGATCATCTCGGTCTTGGCTGCAGCCATCCTCTGCTGGTGCTGAGGCTGCGCTGGTGGCTGCTGCGGAGTCGCTGAATGTGTGCTGGCAGAGCGGTGCCTCGCAGGTGGAGGGGATCACTTAGCCCAACACTTCAGCTGATGCAGTGGAAGACCTTGTTTTCAGCTTTCCTCCGTAGCTCTTCTTCTCCCGTTGCTGCTCTTCTTTTCCTCTCAGAAGTGAGAAAAATCCACTCGTCTTTTCAGCAAGAAGAATCTAATCAGTCCTCTCATTCCCTAAGATTAATCAAAAATGATCAACTGATCAATCTTGATTTTTTTTTTTCCTTTTTTGCTTTGAATTAGGTTACCTATCCAATCAGGTTCTGACCGTCTCGGACTGGTTGTTGTTATGACTTTTTTTGTTTCACTTTTGCAGTGATGTTTCTCAGGCAGAGACTTCTATGTATCTCTGTTCTAACAGTTGCTCATGTGTGGCTCTCAGAGCTCTCTCTATGAGCTTCGAGGTTTCCCCGCTCTTATATACACTCCTGTCGTGACGTAGATGTCCATATTTGGAACAGAGGAAGCCCATATTTAGGCATTGCAGTGGAGAACACACACCGGCCTGAGGGACAGCAGAGGAGCGACTTTATATTAAGCGCTTGCAGTAAATTTGCGAAGACAACGGCGCTCACCCTTCCTCTCTGCTCCCGAATCAATGCGTCTTCATAGCCGAGCGGCTCGGGCTGACAAGCGGCGTAATTCTCGCTCTCCCCCGGTCCTTCGATAGATCTGATTCGGATTTCCCATCTGTGCAGCGAGCTGCTGGCGGCTCCCGGAACCCTCCGCACCGCCGTGCCTTATAAGGTCGTGACTACATAAGGACCTATTCCGGTGGGTTTCCATTTCCCCATGTCCTTATTTGGAGTTTCCTGAGGCAGCGCTGATCGCGTTTTGGCAGAGAACGAGACCGACGTGCAAATCATGTCCAGCGTTCACAATAACGAATGCTGGCAGCACAACTCGACTTGTCTGTGTTAAAAAAAAAAAAAAAACATATGCTCGGACTCAACCGAAGAGTTTGTATGTGGAAAACCTGAAATCTAACAGAGTTATTTACATTGTGAAATTTTTATCAGTTTTAAAGTAGCCTTCAAAGTCAGCCTGACAAAAATGTCTGTATCATCGCATTGATTTCTAAAAGATTAGCGTTTAAAACCAAATATAGACATGATTTACAACTATGTTATATATTATACATATTATATATGTATATACGCAATGCTTCAGATACATAATATTGTGCAAACTCTGCTGCAAACTTCCTCTAAATTAACTTTCCGTCTCCCTCGCCTGTGCCATTGATTTATGGGCGCGCAGATAGCCGGATGCTGACGAGGTGCGGGGCGATCCGTCTAATTGAGGGGTGTCCCCCCTCTGCTCAATATTCACGGGATCTCTCTGCCACTCAGCGGCCTAATGGGCCGCATTAACAACGCAGCGCGCAGCTGCGAGGAAGCCTGCGGGATACCGATGTTCCCCCGGCGCGCCAGCTCCGCTCGGTGCGGTGCTGACGAGAAATCAATGTGTTTCCCTCGGCTGCTGACTGGATCCATACGAGAGCGGCCTCATTGGGAAACATCGTGGGCTGGAGGATGTGAGGTGGCCCGAGAGAGAGAGAGAGAGAGAGAGAGAGAGAGAGAGAGAGAGAGAGATGCTGCTGTTGCTTTATGAAGCTGGTCAGACCCCATGGTCTTAAAATGTAACACGATTTGGGCTTAAGTTGTAAACTGTCATGCTTCATTTATTAGTCTTTCAGCAACAAGATACAAAGGAAAATAAGTAAAGATGTCTGATAATACACTAATTAGCCATGCACTGCGTTATTCGGGTAACGCAGGGTAGATTTGTGGTCTTTACATCGCATTCCCATTTCTTTTTCAGCCTCTGGCAAATCTGCATGTTACTCCCATTAGACTGATAGCTAAATGTTGTAATATATTATAAATGACCTGGGAAACTCACTCACCAAAACATTCTGAATAGTAAGATGGGTAATGTTCTTTCTCCATAAGGATGCTGTATGGCTAAACGATCAAATTGATTTCAGACAGATTACCGCTAACTTCAACTTTATTGCGATTTTATGTGACAAACCAACACAAGGTAGTGTGTGATGGAAAGAGTAGCAGATACATATATGTTGTAAATTCTTTTACATACACACACAAAAAAAAAATCCATGAAAGATTCAGCCCCTTGAGTGAATACTTCGTAGAACCAGTCTTTGTTTCTGCCATCATTGTACATCAACAGATTGACATTTTGGCCAATATTGCAAACTAGCTCTATCTCAGTCATGGTGGATTAAAAAAAGGGACTGCAAACAGATTCTCAGTGGTGTTTAGGGCCGGGCTTTGACTGGACCGTTCACTTTGGTCTGAACCCTTCCAATCTGGCTGAATGTTTATCGTCCTGCTGTAAGGGAACCTTTGACCCAGTCTCAAGTATTTTGGATCTTCTAACACCATCTGTTCTTTTTCTGTTTTGCTGAAAAATTATCTGCTAACTGTGTGAGCCGCTGCCAGCCTTGGCTAGGATTCTCTTGCAAAATCTCTTAATCTCCATGGGATTTAAAGGTTATTATTATTAATAATAATAGCCTACCCTCATCCATTTTCTCATCAGCTTTATCAAGTTTCCTTAACTCTGTTAAAGAAAAGCATCCCCACTCCATGATGCAGCTGACCAACACTTTTTTTTTTTCTGAGTGGATAAGCTGTTAAAGGTGATGTGTAATGTCATTTTATTCCAAAAGTCAAATTTTGTGGCATCTGTGGCAAACTGCACAATTTCACTGACGCTCTATAGCAAATCTCAGAAGTTTTTGCTAAACCGTTGGATTTGTGCTGAGATTCAATCACACACACGTGGACCCAGTCGGCTAATTTGGTGACTCCAGAAGTCATATTAAAATGGGGGTTGGATGCATGTCAGGGGTAAAACTGATTCAAAACCATGTATTGTTTTGCTTCCAGTTTACAAGCATCAATTTCTTTGTGTTGGTTATCATATAAAATCCCAACCAAATACACCAATGTTTGTAGCTGCAGCATAGCAAAAGAGAGCATAAATTCCTTTAGGCACTCTATAAACTATATAAAGTTTTTGTTCTCAGCAAAGAATGGACGCCACTCATTTATCGAGGCGCTTCCTAAACAAAACAAGAGGTCAGATAATGACTGTAAATTAGATAGCACCGGCTTTGTCTGCGAGGTGAGTTGGTGAATAAAATCTAAACTCCTGTCTGCATCTACCTTCTCTGTCAGCGGCAAAGCAAAGAAGAAAAAGTAGAGCATGCAGAGGAGAGAACTCATCATCTGATAACAATGTAATAAAATCAGGTTAGGGAAAACTCTGAAAAGTAATAAAGTAATAAAGATGATAAACAGTTCACAGTGACTGTTTGGGCCCTCCTCCTTCCTGATGCATTGGTTGGGGAGAAGGGAGTAGGGGGGAGATGTAAGGGCAGGAAAGAGGAGGATGTAGGTACTCATAATCTTTGAGCGCTGTTGGATGTTAATATATATGTTTGGGTCAGATAGTTCAGTCTCCTCTGTGTGTTTCCCACTGCTGCCCACACAAACCTGCCAGAGGAGTCCTTGCCTGATGAAACTCTAGTGCAGTGGGCGAGATAAAAAGGCTCTCCTGTTTCCTACACAGCCACCACACCCCTACTCCGACTTACAAACACACCCTGCGTGAGCTCTGGTTAATATTTGATCATCCCCTGATCTGGAGGGAAAAGACGAAAAAGTAGCCCAAAAGATCACAAGAGAGAGAAAAAAAAGAAGTAAGGAGTTGGAACAAAACATGAAAGGAAAAGTGGGAGAAATATGTGAGGAAATGTAGTTTTTATGGCATGGTAGAAAAAAAAATAACTGGATGCACGTTAAGAGAAAGAAATATGTGGGAAGGAAGGGTGAATGTCATCAACAGAAAATAGAAAGTCTGAAAGAGAATCCTCACGCCCACATGTACGTGGGAGCAGATCCCAGGCTTGGGGCTGGCATTTGTCAGCAACCAATATGCCAAGCAAGTCAGTCTGGGAGACAGGACAGGCATGCTGGTGTTCCACCTCCACACCTGCCCACTCCAAGCAGTGGTGCAATCCCTCTCCATTAGCATACAGGTGAATTCAGCCTTGCTGGTGTGCTCCCGTAATGGGCGGAGCGAGACAGCAGAGTGGGTGATGACAGTTACCAAAAGCCTGCATGTTACGTCATGTGACAGAGAAAAGCGGGAGCGTGGGACGGACAGATCGTGTAATAGCCGAGACAAAACAGACAGGAGCAGGTTATTTTAAGGAACGCGTCGCAGCCTTTGTTAAGGAATAAGAGTTTGCGCTTTAATCGCGGCCTGGCATGTGTTTTACGAGACTGAAGATCAGAGGTCGGCATCCTTTGCCCACAGTCACAGCAGTAGTTCTATTGAAGATTGGCCGTGATAGGACGATGTTTGCTGAATGTCATTTTCTACCTATTTTTCCTGACCCTTATTATTATCATTATTTTATTTTATTTTTAACAGAACACCCAGTCCATGTTTTTGATATGGACCACTTATCCAGAAAGAGGTTGAATAGGGGGAGCAGATAAAATAATAAAGCAAATATATGGTTTCGTTTTTTAGCTATGCCTTTAAGTTTCTTATTGCTCTCATGCATGTTCAGGCAACAGTTGCCCTCTGCTTGCTGCTGAGGATAGGATGGCTGTTTTTACATGCTTTGTGCAGGACTGCACTCCGTTTTATCTGGTAATGAGACGCTTTCCTTCATTTTGAATGATTGTGGGATGGCAGAAAGAGGATTTCACACAAGACCGCTGCCAAATTTCATCCAGAGGGCCGATCTCATCGTATACTCTGTAAATGGAGCTCCTTTGTTTTATGTAAAATAGCTTTTCCTTTTTATTTTTTTAAAGTATTTTGTTTAATATAAGAGAATTTTTTTGGGTGAAGACAAAAGCTGAAACAAAGTGTCCTTCACCTCACCCTTCTCTCTAAAGCCCATAGCAACAACAATGTTGGCAGCTAAAAGCCTGAAAAATGTTTCTGCTTCTTAAGAATCGCGGCACCACTGCACAACAAAAACTGTGCTATGCAGAAATGAAAATAGTTCAAACACACACAACCTCTTTTTAGTTCCACTTAATTCAGTAATAATAAAAGAAACACGATTCTGGAGAACATTACATTTCTGCCAACGGAGCTCAAACCCTGAAGAAAAGTCAAGTCAAAAGTCAAATTATTTCAGTCGTTTTTAGCAGCTTTTGGAAATATTTAAAACATTGTCTTTCCGCCTGAATTAATTAGGGTTTTTTTTCTGTATCCCACCTTTAGAATCTCTAAATACAGAGCTTGTTTTTTTTTCCTGCACATTAATTACTGTGCCAGCAATGTGTTTCCACACACTCTATGCAAATCCATTAGAGGTCCATCTATTCCTATGGAAACTTCCTTGATCGTATGTGTACATTTGCAAAGTTTCCTCTTTATTTGTTTATTTTTTTCTGAAGCAGGATTTGAATGTACTTATATAATATTCAGGGAGAAAAACAGTTTCTAAAAAAAGAAAAAAAATCTACCATAGTTTTACAAATGTTGACAATTTAGTGATTGTTAACTTAGTGAAATGTTAAGGAGGATAGATAAAAAACACATCTGGCTAATGTTGGTTTTGAATGGGTCTGGTGGCATGTGTGTG